CCTAGAAATTTCGTAAGCCCTTATGTGAGTACAACACATACCTGGGGGCTGAATTTGAAATTATTAGCTAGTTCACGCACAGAGAATATCCCTACAAAGTTTCCTTAGCTCATATGGTTGTCGAGATGGCTTTCCCGCCGAAAAATTTGCATATTTTTTAAAGCGTCCGTACGCGCTACCTGGGCGCCCACGTGGGATGAAATTAAAACGGGAGGGTCGGGCATGGTATATGGGCACATATCCCCAAAGTTTCAGCTTTCTAACTTTTCTGGGTCTCGAGTTGAAAGTGGGTGACAAAAAGTGCAAACACACAAACACGCACATAGCCTCTTCCCAATATGCGTTTTTGCAATTGACGTATATGCAAAAACGCATAAAAAAGCAGAAAAAAAGCAGCATTGCATAGATGCAAAAAAACGCATAAAAGGCAGTCGAGAACGCAATGCGGAATACATGAGAAACCGGAAAGAGCGAGGGTATATATATCAGATGACGACAGTGTGTTACAGTGGGAGGGAAGTATTTGGCTAAATCTTTTCATAATCAGCGATTTCAAGTGCGCACTGAAGTGTACCAAATTTCAACACTCCCCAATTTAGTTGCATATTTTCAAACTGTAGCAGCTGTGCATCGCTCAACATCACTAGGCATTTTTCGACCGTTGCAGCAAATACTGTTGCAACGTCAAATACTGTCGCAAATACTTCGATCAATTGCAGTTTACAGTGTGGTCTTCCATCTGTGCAGCTGGCTATCTTCTTACTTGAACAGTACCGCATTACCTGCTGGTCAATTTGGCCGATCATCTTAATAGGCTAATAACTGCTTGATAGGCTTTTCAGACTAAAATTTCTCACGAAAGCTGTCGCCTCATAATTCCATGGCATTGATATCCTTATCATATGTTAGTTTCCTCCTCTTCCACCTGCTCTATCACACCTACTTTTCCCATGACATTAAATACTTTCTCTCCTACTTACTCTATCTTTTCCTTTCACTCTTCCTTCTAGCAAATTAGCTACATGTCCTT